TTTACTATTACTCTATATTTGGCGTCTGCACTTACTGGAACTCTATATTTGGCATCTGCAATTACTAGTACTCTATATTTGGCATCTGCATGTACTAGTACTCTATATTTGGCATCTGCACTTACTAGTTCTCTATATTTGGCATCTGCACTTACTAGTACTCTATATTTGGCATCTGCAATTACTAGTACTCTATGTTTGGCATCTACAATTACTAGTACTCTATTTTTGGGCATCTGCACTTACTAGTTCTCTATATTTGGCATCTGCACTTACTAGTACTCTATATTTGGCATCTGCACTTACTAGTACTCTATATTTGGCATCTGCACAAACAAGTACTCTATATTTGGCATCTGCACTTACTAGTACTCTATATTTGGCATCTGCACTTACTAGTACTCTATATTTGGCATCTGCACTTACTAGTACTCTATATTTGGCATCTGCACTTACTAGTTCTCGATATTTGGCATCCGCACTTACTAGTACTCTATATTTGGCATCTGCACTTGCAAGTACTCTTCTGTTTTGACCATATATATAGACCAATTTTTGCATTATTAATAAACCAATGAATACAAATACAGTGAAACAGCAAATAAAAGTATGACAAGAACTTCTGTAGGACAGCATGCTCAACTATTTCAAGTGTGACACGTATGCTTACAACAATAGGTCCTCATATTCTTCAAATACTGGAGCTAAAAATGTTGCTGAGTGAACAAATACAGTAACCTTATGTAGATTAAGGTACTTACATATAACTTAACTCCTAACATTTATCACAATAAGCAAAAATAAACCTTACTCTGCTCGTAAAATGTAAAATTATTATGGGGGACTGAATTCTGCAGGCATCCGTGTCCTATTGACAGACACTTTTCTATTTGTTTTCAGACTTTGGTCTTTCCTTTTATCTTTATTGGCGACGCCGGTGAGCGGCGTCGTCTATTATGGAACGCTTTTTATTTTTGCCTATGGAAGGAGCTGTTATTATTAGCAGTTAATTTCATGTTGTGTTAATTAGTTTTATTTTGATTCGTAAAAATCAAGTAAACAAATGTGTTGTTATATTTGTATTTTTTAGATATTGTTATGAATTGTAAATACAGTGAAACCTGTAGAAATTGGTCTGTAATTACCTGATTGAATTTTATCCGTTGTTTGACTATTTCTTTTAAAACTGGGAGATCAGATAAATTGATGGTTTGTGTTGAAAGGTGCTCGTCTATCAGGTAGTTGGCATCAAATAGTGATATTTCTGAAAAAAGTAAAAAGAAAAAGTAATAAGATTTTATGTAATTAAGACCATTGTATGTTGGCTTTTGGACGGCGATACCACCTCATCTGCTGTTGCCAGTTGCAAATGCCTATTTACTACAATATGCCAAAATATAGTTTATTGCTGTTGAAGTATAAATCAGAAAGAAAAAAACTTTCAAAAATATGTAAAGATATCAAAAGTCGTTCACAAATATACATATTTCATAAAAAACAAACTTGTGAGAGCTTATACCATTATGGACAAATACAACTACACTGATTGACAGAGCATATAAATACTCAGTCTGTCCAGAATATAAACAGACTGTAGCAGTTAACTCCCTTGATCAGTACTAAATAGTTACCAGTAATAGTAATTGTAAGGCCAGATTGTAGAAATCTTTTAATGCTTTATTGAATAGTTAATTCTGACCTATTTCAAAAAATGTTTGTTTAAGTGCAAATTAAATAAAAATTACGATTATTATTTATTAATTAATTTTTCATAATCAGAAAATTACCTTCCATCAGTACTTTCAAGCATACCAACACTTTAAAGGTTATATTAAGCTCTATTTATAATAGCTTAAATACTTGGGTGCACTTTATATTTATTGACATCAGCCATTTTAATCATTATGCCACAGAGTCTCCTGTTTTAATATACAGGTCAAGATGATTATGGTCACAGGCAGAAGAATTTCAATCTTTGAATTTAAACATTGAACAGAAGAGTTATGGCTCTTGACTAAGTAAGAGTTTTGGCTCTTGACTAAGTAAGAGTTATGGCTCTTGACTAAGTAAGAGTTATGGCTCTTGACTAAGTAAGAATTATTACTCTTGACCAAGTTGAAACATAAGCTTAATTTGAAAAAAAAGGCATCCTCTAAACACAGTTTTGATTGATAACATTATACTTAGGGCAAAAATCCACTGCTAAACCCAGGCCAAAATGGCTGTCTTAAATGCATTTTGGATCGCCTCAAAACCAAGAAAACATAATTATTTTGTTGTATGTTAAAAAAAAGTACTAAAATGATTGCTTAAATTCAAAATAAACTAAAGAAATATAGTCTCAGAAAAACTTTAATAACAACCCTGGGACACTGAGATTACTATTTCAAAATCTTTACCAGCTGAGATTTTAAACTGCTGATAAATATTATACCCAATTTAATTGTAACCTCTAGACCATGGTTGTATATACAATGTATTTTTTATTAAAAAAATTCTAAAAGTCCTAATTACACAATATTAAAGCAAGGTCAATAAAAATTTGACACTTTTACAACCTTTATATGACAGTCAACCTTTTATCTGTTTCAAAATAAGATATTGTAAGTCTGTTCATAAACAAATACATAATTTTTCAATGTTATAAAAATTACATTAAAATTGGGGTAATTTTGGAAAAAGTTTTTCAAGTCCACTGAACATAATCTGATATCAGCCATGTGCTGTTTATGTATGTCTTGATCACATCTTAAATATGTGTGCCCGAGGGCTTTGCTGATGTCTATATAGTGTTACAATATGATCTTGAAACAACTGAGGTATTACAGTGGCTGTATCATTCTTATTTGTACTAAACTTTACCCTTTTTCTAAAAGCTATATGTCCCAAATAAGAGCAAATTTGATGATCAGGTGTTATGTTGTACTAGAGTCTGAGAGTTGAGCCTCATTTGCGCTTCCATGGAACATATTGTTACTGACAGTACCTCGTAGCATGTTCATTTTATTGACCAATGGCTTAGTTATTTAGTCTGTTGAGAAGTTCCACAGGATCTGAACTCTCCGATGAGGTTTCAGGTTATTTGGGTCAAGGTCATTTAGGCTAAAATTAGAGTTTTCTACTTTTCTTTAACCATTATCTGTTTGTCATTTAATCAACTAATCTCAAAACGACAGACATATCAGCTGAAATAAAGTTTTAACCTACTTAAAAAACCTTTTTTGATTTTGACATTAGACATGTTGGTTATACAGTTCAGCTAAACTATTACATGTATGTTACTTAAACCTTATGTTACAAAAACTTGTTCCAGAATTGACTTCATCTTTACATACCAAGTTCATTGTCAATTTCAGCATTGAGGTAGAATTTAAAAGTCTCGTTCCAAACTGGATTGATGTCATTGTCCACATGTTTGGTTTTCTGCGTGCCATGTGGTGACGTCTTAATGCTGACCGTAACATAGGGGTCCGGAACATCCACTGAAATAGAAATAAATTTATAATGACTTTTCAACATTCTTGACAAAGATGTGAGAAAGTTGTTGTGAAATTTACTCTGTAACATATGACCAATCAGAACCAACTTGACAATAAATGTAGGGACTGATCAACGCTACCTGCTCCCTTTTTTTGCCATTAAGTATGGGTTGTTCCAAAATAACCAATGAAAAACATCTAGGGAATGGAATAAGGAATGATGTGCAGACTGCTTATGACATCCAATCAAGCACTAACCTGAACATTCACAAAATACTTGAAACACCCATTCGTAATTAAACATTGTTCAAACACTGATATAATTACAAGTTTGCCTAAAGTTATTCTACTGAGGCAACAAAATAATTATTAATGCATTTTCCTTGGATATAACAATATTAATTATATTACCAATACCTACTTATCATTTATTTTACTGGTAACAATTTGGGTCACGTTACCTGGAACTGCTTGCGTCATATAATTTGACATTTCATCACCATTATATGCAAAATTAACTGTAAAATGCCAGAGGAAAAACATATTATGACGCAGGAGTAATATGCTTGCATTCCAAGCTATCTGACAAATTTATGAAGATATTTTTTGCCTGCTGTAAAAAAAACTTACACCTACGTGTCAACATTACCTTAATCTAATTTGTCAAATAATTACACACGAAATGCATTCAAGGTTGACTGTAGAGGAAAATTATTATGCAACATAATGCAAAAGCATTGCAGAGATTTCATAACTTTTAGCGGCTCTTACAATATTGTTGTACATATACATGTAAATGAACTTCGTCACACATATCACACTAGATCATTACAAACAATACATTTTCGTATAAAGTTAATATTTTACATTAATACAAACACCACTGTTTATGGGCCACCCAGCAACTTCCTGTTTTACATTCTACTCCAGATAATACTCAGAATTTTCTTACCTCAGTGCTTTAAGAAATCAATCAGGTTTTTTTTACAAATATAATTAAAACCCTTGTAACAGTCAAAGGTCTGTGACTGTTCTTTTTTTTGTTGTTTTTTTTCTCACTTTATTGTTTTAATAATGTATAATGCTTCCCCATTTATGAATAAAAATACAGTCTTAGGGCGCCTGTTTATTCTAGAAATTACCTGATCATTATTAGGTAACAGGTAAACTCTGGAGATTAAAGTAAACAAGTTAATTTTCGTCATCACATTCTTAGATGATTCTAAGATGAATAATTGAAATGATATGCAACAAAATCCATAAAATTGTTATACCAAATTCCTATCTTAACATTTCCTGCTGTGTTTCTAATATTTTTGTTTCCCCGAAAAAACGTAACATGTTCTGCGTCCCTAATTGGCCAGGTGTGTTCAAGTTGTTTACCTATATTGTTTATTATACTTCAAAGGTTTATTATATAACATCATCATAATTCTCACGTTATGTTAATTGAGTAATGAATATAAGCTGCCATGAGGATAAAAACCCTTTATATGTTTTAAGATATTTTTATATTATTATACATTTATAATATTGCGCGTTTGTAACGACATTTTTGATTGGATAATCGTGACGTTTATATAATTGAGTAATACATATAAGCTGCCATGTTGATGAAACCCTTGATATATTCTTAGATATTTTTGATATATACATGTACATTTATAATGCTTCACGTTTGTAACAATGCTTTTCATTGGATAAGCAGGACATTTACATAGTTTTATATATATATTGCTGCTGTCACTTTATGAAGAAATATCACTTTTTTCTTTAAAATTAAAGATGCTTGCTGTATTATAAATTTATTTTCGTTTATTTTGAATATTTCTGACAGGTTATATGGCCATATATAAATGGCTCGAGTTATATTTCCAAACAACTGTTTATAATTATGGGGTCATATAACCTGTAAAAAATCTTTGAAAATTAAAGTATATACATTCAACATAATTATATATAATGCTTCAAAAATGATGTCAGTGTAAAGTCAGCAAGAAAATTAATCACTCAAAAGGAACATTAAGATTTTTTTTTCATCCTACTTAAATACTTATTGGAATAGTTTTTGAATGACTACATGGTATTTAAATGCCTTCTACTTTGATATTAATCATATATACAGTACATATATATGAAAAAAAAACATTGTTTACTCAACAGAAATAATAAGATAACCTCAAATGTTTATATTTTGAAGTTCATTGCCCTAGCACCTACTCAGATGTATGAATACTAGTAGGCCTATTTACTGACTAGTACGTTTTGTTTAAACGTTTAGTACGTTTTGAGTTGTCTGCTATAAATAAAATGTTTTGGCAAGGTATATACTTTTTATTACATGTTACAAACCTGTTCAACATACATAATTCATAATTAAATTTATTAATCAAATAGGATTTCATAAAGATTTCACTTCTTTATGTAGTTTCAAATCTGGTACATATGCATAATGTCATATAAATAATAACTAAGAAGTGAAACAATTTGTCACCTTAGTGCAATAATAGGTTAACTCCTAATATAATTGGACAGTAGATATTCTGTTACTGCACTTCAGTGACAAATTGTGTTTTTTAGTAATCAAGCGGAGCCTGAAATCAAGCATGTCTAATCACCTGTAATTGTTTGTATTTCGGTCACGATCCTAATTCTATATGATTGATTACAGCCGACATGTTCATAACCCATGACATTGAAATAGTTTAGTAAAAAGAAAGGTGAATTTAAGTTGTAATATTTTCATATTATTACATATTACATGTATTATACTTTTTAATATTTTTGTGGGGTTTTTTTTGCGATAGATTTTCACAATTCATGTGATTGCATAAAAGTTTTGTATAAATGAACTTTATTTCCATATTTTATAAATTTATACAATGAACAGTTTAGTTTGCAATGACATTTGAGATAGTAAGTGACTCAGAAATGAACCTTTAAGGTTTTTGGTAACATTTTTAAATATTGTGCATGTTGCGTTCATTGAAATCAAATGTATTTTGCCTTCCTGCGGTACTGTTATAGCTTCACAGTGTTCTACCGGTCACAATAGATTAATCAACCTGTTGCGCTTATTTTTGAAGCTGTGTCTGTAAAAGTTTGGTTGTACCCCTGGATTAGCTAGGAAAAAACCAAAATATTTTTATTTCTGGAGTAAGTCTATTGTTTACTGACTGATCAGTTACTTATTACTGCTAGTTGGTCATACTTAGCTTTTTATGTGTTTAACAATAAACTTATAATTAACAGTTTAAAATCAAAAATAGAAATGTCGGAAACATAAATTTTGATGTGTTTATATTAAACTCTCGACTTTTCTTCAAAAACAATTAAAACTGATCTACATTTCCATTGAACCTTGAAGAAAACTTGTTTATAAACATCAGTATGTAATAGAGTACATCAAAATCGTGACAGTATATCGGGATTTTTGTAATCAATTATTGAAGAGACGGCCCATTAAAAATCTCTCAAGTGTTTCTAAAGTAAGTGCAATTACTGCCATCACAAGTTCTACGGAGATCACCTTTAAATAAATAATACCTTCGGGTCAAATTTTTCAATAGAAACGTAAAAATAATCAACAAATGAACTGAACATTTTGTCTTTCTTTTACGTAGGAACTTGTTTACTTAACACTTCTGTACAACAAAAATGCTTTATTACCCATAAGTCTCTGTTCAAAAGAAAAGTATCAATAGAATGGTTTAGAAATTATATGATTCAATTTTAGATAAGAACGTTTATCAAAAGCAGTCTGGTACCGTTTGTTTAGCATGTTACCACAAATTCAAAATATCTTATTTTAATATCATTGTCATCTTTATACATTTAATCCTATAGCTCAAAGCAGAACAGCTCCTGTCAAGGGAGGTAACCTTAAGTTTTTATTCAACTTAAAAAATAAAACATACATCAAAATTATTTCTTGTTGTAACTATAAACGCCCTGTTTACTATCACATGATAAAATCGGCAAGACTCCTAGTGATTGAATATGTTAATATTTGTTATGGCAGAAAGAAAAAAAGGAAGACATTGAACTATCACCTTTCATAAAAACAAATATTAAATACATGTAGATTGTGCTATCAATAAGTATGATCATTTTACTTAAACCAGTCTTTTGTATAGGAAGTATGATCATTTTACTTAAACCAGTCTTTTGTATTGGAAGTATGATAATTTATCTTAAACCAGTCTTTTGTATAGGAAGTATGATAGTTTTACTTACACCAGTCTTTTGCATAGGAAGTATGATAATTTTACTTAAATAAGTCTTTTGTATAGGAAGTATGATAGTTTTACTTAAACCAGTCTTTTGTATAGGAAGTATGATAATTTAACTTAAACCAGTCTTTTGTATAGGAAGTATGATAATTTTACTTAAATAAGTCTTTTGTATAGGAAGTATGATAATTTAACTTAAACCAGTCTTTTGTATAGGAAGTATGATAGTTTTACTTAAACCAGTCTTTTGTATAGGAAGTATGATAATTTAACTTAAACCAGTCTTTTGTATAGGAAGTATGATAGTTTTACTTAAACCAGTCTTTTGCATAGGAAGTATGATAATTTTACTTAAATAAGTCTTTTGTATAGGAAGTATGATAATTTTACTTACACCAGTCTTTTGTATAGGAAGTATGATAATTTTACTTACACCAGTCTTTTGTATAGGAAGTATGATAATTTTACTTACACCAGTCTTTTATATAGGAAGTATGATAATTTTACTTACACCAGTCTTTTATATAGGAAGTATGATAATTTTACTTACACCAGTCTTTTATATAGGAAGTATGATAATTTTACTTACACCAGTCTTTTGTATAGGAGCCTTTTGTGATGTTGTAACCCTTGACAACCTTGATGTAGAACAGCATACATGGCATGTGTTCTACCTGGAATGAAAAATAACAAAAAAGTTTGGTTAAAAATGTGATAACCCAATGATAATAATCCTTTCTAATTCCAAGTAAATTTAAGGTTCAACAAATTCATGACTGAAAAGAGTAATTCATGAATAAGGAGTGTAATTCATAACTGAATGGTGTAATACATGAGTGTAAGGTGTAATATATGTCTGATTAGTGTACATGTAGTTCATAGCTGATTAGGGCATTTCATGACTGAGGTGTGTAGTTCATGAATAAGCAGTGCAATTCACAAATGAATGAGTAATTCATAAATGAAATTCTTTAGACATGAATGAGGGATGTTATTTACATTTTAGGGGCGTAATTCATGACTAAGAGAATAAATCATGGCTGAAGTGTGTATTTCATGAATTAGATATGTTGTAAATAAATGAGGGATATTATTCATGACTAAGGGAATAATTCATAACTGAGGGTGTCATTCATGTCTTAAAAGCATAATTCATGACTGAGAATGTAAATTCATGACTGAAAAGCATAATATATGACTAGGGTGTAAACTCATGCCTGAAAAGCGTAATTCTTGACTGAGGGTGTAAATTCGTGACTGAAAAGCATAATATATGACTAGGGTGTAAACTCATGCCTGAAAAGCGTAATTCTTGACTGAGGGTGTAAATTCGTGACTGAAAAGCATAATATATGACTTAGGGTGTAAACTCATGCCTGAAAAGCGTAATTCTTGACTGAGGGTGTAAATTCGTGACTGAAAAGCATAATATATGACTAGGGTGTAAACTCATGCCTGAAAAGCGTAATTCTTGACTGAGGGTATAATTAATGACCCAGGGTTATAAATTCACAACTGATAAGTGTAATGAGGAGTGCATTTTACGACTGAGGGTACAATATAAACTCTTTTTTTTTAAATGATTTGTAGCATGTTAATAGATAAGCATATAAGTTATGCCTGAAAAACAATGTCATGTTTCATCATTTACTAAAGCTATAAATTATATTTTGGAGTTACACAAATCAGAAAATTTGAGATAAATTATATTGAACTGAATTTTTGATAATAAATTAATTGAAATAGCAATATATAACAAGCCTTAAGTGGCATTTACCCAATTTTACGAAAAGATCACAATAAATTAAAATGTTACATAATAAGTTATATTATACTTGATATTCTTGCTATCATATACACAACACATAAAAAAGAAAAATACATAATTATACAAAATATATATTATATTTTGCATTTTTTGTCATAACATACCAAGTAAAACAAAAAGCTTGATGCTCAGGTTTTTTTAATGTACTCTGTTCAACAGAAATGTTAAGATTCTAGTTGCATATGTAATAGAAAGAGCACCGAAACACGAGGCTATCTGATTTGTACGAGGGGTATAAATCAGATTGCCGAGTGTTTTGGTGTTCATTCTCTTTTGTATCATAGTCAAACATAAAAGCACGTTCCCTGTTGTCACAATATGAAACCCCGGCAAAAATGAACCAATGAACGAACATCTGAATATGACATTTCTGTCGCTTTCTCTTTCTCTGCCGTCACAATAAGTAAACCCCAGCAAAAATGAGCCAATCAATGGGCATGCTCTGGAGTGCGGGTAACTAATACCCGCACTCCAGTTAAAGCACTGTGCATGTATATGTATACGATTTAACCCTGACACATTTTCAACAGAAAGGTCTCCAAACTATGATACAAACATTTTTATAGAAGTTATAATCATGAATATAAGAAATTATATTGATGCATACAGAATTCTTCATTTGTTTGTGACTATGTCAACATATGTCAACCATGAAAACAATGTATCTATAAGAGCTGTCAATAATCTTGTTTAAAGCATATAGACCATATACTGATATATATCGATAATTATTACATTAAGTTATAATTTCTTGTCAAGTTATAATTTCTTGTCTATAATTCATTTCTGAATTTTTTTCAGATTATTTTTTGTTTTTGTCACTGACTGCTTTTTGAATATGTCAGTTACAGCAGCATTATAAGTTTTATGTCAATGTTTTGAGTGAATTTTCATAGTTTTTAGACATTTAAATTACTCAGTAAGTGTTATAGTCGATATTTGTTTTCAAATGTGTATGGATTATTGATTAATACACTGGTGTCGTTTTTTTATCAATGACAGCTCTAAAACAAAAATCTATCAATGACAGTGCTAAACCAAAATCAATCGATGACAGCTCTAAAACAAAAATCTACCAATGATAGCTCTAATTCAAAATCTACCAATGACAGCTCTAAAAATGACAGCTCTAAAACAAAAATTTACCCATTACAGCTCTAAAACAAAAATTTACCCATGACAGCTCTATAACAAAAATCTATGGATGACAGCTCTAAAACAGGATGTACTTACATCAAAGAGGCTGAATGTAGAATTTCGATGTTTTGATGTGACACTTGACGGAGGTTTAAAGTCCGAGTCGTAATCATTATCACTATTGTCAGACATTTTTGTAACCTACTTACGAATCACTGTACTCCTTATTTAACATATTAAATATTCCATTTGAATTTTCACCACTTTCATTAACTATTTACAAGAGAACTAACTTTATTGAGATGTCAATGTAACAAAAATTGTTAAAATTCAATTCCCTGCGTGGTTGAAAGTTGAAAATTTGAATTTGTAAAGTCAATCATTTTTTGGTTACATAATTGAATATTTTCTGTTTGATATTTCATTAGTATTCAATCTGTGGTTTGTAGGAAACAAATTTTATTATAGCTTTCTACTTGACTGAAAATTCCATGGTTGAACAATGTTATTTTTAGATATGATTAGAAACGTGTCTTTTTGATTATTTAATCCCAACTTAGCAACACAATTTAACCTTTGACATTTTAAAGCTTTTTAATTTAAAAAAAACAAACAATAACACTCCTCCGCTGTTAAAATATTATTGTTAATCCAATACTAAATGTTGAAAATGTGGTCAACACTAAAACAGCAGTCTCTCTGAAATCATTTAAAAAATTTTAATCACGAAAATCACATCCTTTTTCTAGAATAAAAAACATTTAAAAAAAGAGTAAAATTTTGTATTTCAGTGTTTTTTTCAAACAGCATTCTCTGTGGATTGATTCAATCCATTTATACACAGAAATTTCATCCTTTTCTAGAGTAAAATCCCTTGATTTGTAAGTAATATTTTGTAATTTAGTTTACTATTCAAAGTTCGTGATTTTTTTTTCTTGTCAACTATGTTCACTGGAGTGTGAAATTAATAATGTTCATTGCGGTATGCTTTAATGTCTCCTACAGACAAATTTTTTTTTATCATTACAACTTAATTATCGATGGGTTAACTTGAGTCTGATGTTGAACAATTAATGTATTATGCAAAATTTTCTTAAGATATATATTACTATTAAAATTCAAGATCTACTTTTATCGAAATCAATGACTTTTTTATTGTCTTTCTCGTACCGAGACCTTGATAAGTTAACCGAAGTTAATAAAAGAATGTTTACTTTGCTTATGCTTTGATAGTTTTGGCAAAAATACAATGAAAATTCAAAATTGGAGATAATTTTCTTTCCTTACATCGTCATTATCCACAATAATTAATGAAAATATATATTTCTGCAAAAAAAAATGTTATCTTAATTCAGAACTAACTAATTTTCACTCAGTTTTATAACAGTTATAACTAACATATCTTTTCCAAAATTTTGTCAAAATATTTTCTAACACAATTGTTCTTAAAACCACCAACGATATATTCCATTTTGTGGTAAAATCAGCTTTAATTGTCTGCCTGACAATTTTGATACTTTATACTTATAGTTGTATCCAGCCATGTGATGAGACGATAAAATACCAAACGCAGATTTTCCGGAAAGTTCCATATTTGTAGAAAGGTATGAAATCACTTTGTTATATTGTCTGTAGTGCTTTTTTTGTATTCATTTCGATTCAAGTATAACTTGGGAAGGAATACGTTTTGTGTAAATTCAATGTCAAAACAAAAAATCTTGATGTTATGTAACCATTAAAAAGATGTACGGGAAGGTGTCTTGCGCTTTTTTTTTGTTTCCATAAGAAGATTTTGGTTTCTCTGATGTAAGAGACCAAATACCACTGAGTGGGATTTGTTATTTCCTTATAAGGAAAAAAATGAAAATCTCTTCCTTACACGAACATCTGCTTCTGAATTATAAAAGTTTTGCAAAAGTTTGAGTTACATTGTATATCTAAGACACGTTTTTACTGTTTATATTGCCTTATAGGTTTGTTACAAGATGCAGTTTTAGTTATTTAGCTGATACTTTACTGCGTTTTTGTTTTTACTGTTAGACAATAGACAATACCGTCTATGATATCTCCTTGAAATATCGCCCTCACATACTGAAAACAGAATCACTTTACGATTTATTTATTGTTGAGGCGGTATAATTTAATATGTAATGTTTCTTTATGTGATGACAAACACCTGTTACTTCCAATCACTGTATGATTTATTGTGAGCTTACTAGATTCCATTTGTATTATTTCCTGTAAAAACAGGAAATACTGTACACTTAATCTCAGTGTGATTTTTCCTTGGGTTTGTCTGAATCATCAGTTCTTATAAAATATAGTTTATAAAAACCGATTACTGTTCACGTTTGAGATGTCGGCTTTTTTGTAATTATATTTTACATACAAACTGGATAAAAATATAAAACTTTGCATTTTTTTATAGTCTCAGTTTTTAGTAGTTTTCTTTTATATTATCACTTTATTGACAGTTTTATGCAATTTTACCAGACAGATATTAGATTCACAGTCTCTGATATTTAAGTTTAGTCATTTATTTAAGCTTGATTATAAAAGCATCAGCAATTTATGTCAACAAAAATATTTCAGTCCCAGTTCTTGAAATAACCAGTCCAGATTCTAGAAATAACCAGTTCAGATTCTAGAAATAACCAGTCAAGGTTCTCGAAATAACCAGTCAAGATTCTAGAAATAAAACCAGTCCAGATTCTAGAAATAACCAGTCATGGTTCTAGAAATAACCAGTCCAGATCTAGAAATAACCAGTCAATGTTCTAGAAATAACCAGTCCAGATTCTAGAAATAAAACCAGTCAAAATTCTAGAAATAACCAGTAATGGTTCTAGAAATAACCAGTCAAGGTTCTAGAAATAACCAGTCAAGGTTCTAAACATAACCAGTCCAGATTCTAGAAATGACCAGTCAAAGTTCTAGAAATAACCAGTCAAGTAGTGGTATATTAAAACTGGTCCTGATGGAAGTATGATAAGGCCATCAATGTACCCTCACTCTTTTGATTATTAGGCCACCATTTACCCTCACCATTGTAACTGTTAGGCCACCAATTTACCTTCTCCATTTCAACCAATAGGCCATAAATAGACCCTCACCATTTTAAGTATTAGGCCACCAGTTCTTCCTCACAATTTTAACCATAAGGCAATCAATTTACTCCTACTCCTATTTTTTGTTTGGCTGAGTTAAGTCACATTGACTGTTTCTAGCCCGGTATTTGTAAAGCAAGACCTTACATGGCCCGTCATGCATTATTTTAAGCACACACTGGCATCTAGGTAAAACCATGAACGTTTTTAAGCCAGCTGGATAGCTTTATCACATGAAAAAGTCCCATGCTGAGGAGGATTCAAACTCATGGCAGTAAGTAGCATTTCAATCCTTTTGCAATCAATATACAATATGGCCATAAATGTATGACAAGATGTTTATTTCAAGTTTGCCATTTAGTTGACATGATCCATCAACAAAGGACATAGGATTATCTATCCTTATATTTTTTTATCCTTTTCGGTAAAAAATAAAAGAGGAGTTCCTAGAATTACCATGCTGACAATAAAGCATTAGTTAACTGTATTTAATTATTTAGACATGATTCTATGCATGCCAATTGTTATAGACATTGACCTTATATATATACTTGTAGCACTTGAGGTTTCTTGCACTTCTTGTGCATAATTTATCATATTTGGTTTCCATTAAGGTGGCTCTCTGATTATTGAGATAGTTTCATTTCTCAGGAGACGATATGACTATCAAGTAAACTGTTTTGTCTAGGATTTTATTGCTGTAGTAGTGTTTCACTCTTTACAAAATCCAGACACATTGCCTTGTTTGATGGCATTGTTACAGAAGAATGCAATATATTTTACAATAGTAGTTATGACCAAATACGGAAATACATAATCAGCAATTTCTATATAGAGTTGTACAGTTTGCATTGAAGATCCATATAGGAAATCAAACCTACAGGGAAGGAGGGGTGTGCTCATTGACTGAGTGGTTAGTCACATTATCACCACTTTAGGTTTGAATCTTATTTGGAGCATTTAAAAAAAACTCACAAAGATCTTAGGTTGTATTAATGGAGTTTGTCTGCTATGTGCCTTAATTAATATATGCTGCATCTGGAACTCTCTCCTAAACAGTGCCATGTTAACTTTTAACTAAAGGACTGCCCATGCTGGTGAGTCACACTCACCACCCCCCCCTCCCTCCCCAACATGCACCACCCCATACCCACCCTCAATACCCCACGAAAAAAAAATAGAATAATAATAAATAATTATAAGAGCCCCCAACAATTACTGCACATTCCCTGATTTCCTTCAGACAACTGTATAAAGAACTTGGTCTGTATTTGATGAACGAAATCTGTTTGTCCTCAGACAAAAACAGAAAGGTTTTACATTGAATTTGCACAAGAATACACTGTAAAATTGCATAATATTATGTCAATAGTTGATATCAGACTTATTAGATAAGTGCAAATATATATTAATCCCATACTTGTACTGCTTTTGCGAATCCGTAAAATTGGAATTGCAGGGCCGAGCATATATTTTGAAGTGAGGTCATTTGCGTTATACAAACATACTGTAAAGACTCGATAAATATTAGTGTTACACTATAGGCGCATCAATAAAAAAAATGATTCTTTATGTCTTTAAACAGTCTTTATTTTGGGTATGTGATAAATAGAATATCATACTCCTGTAGGTTCATTACTGAATTTATTAAATTTGTTGAATAAAGTAATATTTTGCTTGCCAGCTGCTCGCATAATATTTTATTTAACTCGTTCAATAAGTTTAGTATTGAACTTACACTATTCAATATCCTGTATATAATGCTATGTATATAATATATATCATTTTTATTGAAAGTAAAGTGTGCAGATGATTAATGACATATTTAATCATAAACTTTGTAAAAAGATATCATAAAGTGAAGGGTACTTCAGATTCTTGAGGCTGATAATGACATACTTGTGTACTTGAAATTATGTCAATTTTATCAGTTATTGTTGATTGCCCTCAAACTTAAAATACCTCAGTTTTAACAGTCATATTTACATAATTTGAACCCTTGAATAAATTTTTTGTTTATTTTCAATAGATATATTTGTCATAGCAATTATAACCTCCTGGCCGCATTATTTTGAGGGTCATTTGACTCATTCCTAATAAGGTCATTCAACTAATTCCTAACAATTATTCTATGCCTAAGATAAGATAAAAATATTATCATCTTTATGAAAATTGATTAAAATCTTTAATGTATTGGTGTTATGATAATATTTTATTTCATTTGACAATTCACCTAATTAATAGAGGATATTGAATAAGTGTAGTTTAATACTAAATTTATTGAACGAGTTGAATAAATTTATATTATGCGAGCCTCTGACGAGCATAATATTGTTTTATTCAACGAGTTCAATAAATTTAGTATTGAATCTACACGAATATAATATTCTATTTATCACATATATAAAATAAGAACAGTAAACTGTTAAAATGAGTAATTTTTCAATGACGCGCCTAACAACGCTAACATTTAGCGCACTTTAACGCTATGTTTCTATATAGCGCAAATGACGTCACATCAAAGTGTTATTTAATTACACAAGTGTAATATCATTTTTATTAAATGGCTTTTTTACACTCCTGCGCTATGGTTTATTATGTGATAAAGCTGTTTATTGAGATTTTTTTCATATTTTTGTCAATTATATTAAATTGAATATTGACTATTGACCCATAAAATGACTGCCACTTATGGCAGGGGAGGTAAATATTGTAAAAATCTGGAACTGTCTATATTAATGTACCCTTGAATCTATAGTGACCTTGACATTGATAATACTGCTTGAAATTTGTGGTGAGGCTCTTGTCTTTTATGACTGAATATATCACCATCTTAGTGCAGTAACATGTTAACTCATAATGAAAACTAATAGGAGTTAACCAATTACTGCACTGAGGTGAGGAAATACTAAAATATTCTTACATTGTTTTGATAATAAGTTAAACCAAAAGGCTGATGAAAAAAAAGGAGGAAATGTTACCCGCAAAAGTGTCAGGGAAAGAAAAAAGATTAATATGGAAGTGTTTTGCAATTGTTGACAATGTACAATTGTAATATAAATTGTTTATGTCCTAAGATATATATTAGAATGAACTTCCTTAAAATGTGTCTATAGGGAAAAAAACAAAACTAAGTGTTAGAATGGTTTACCAAGAATTATGTGACTGCACTTCGATATTGTTACAGTAACCGGCAGGAATTGTTATAGGAAGGAGGAAAATTTTCATTTCTTTTTTTTTCAGGGCAATAATTGATACTTCAAGTTATTAAAGTTATGGTAAACCTTAAAGGGTGCAGTTTGATAGTGATTAGTTGAATTTCTTGGAATATGGAATCCCTTCCTATGTTTATGATACACTAGCAATTTTAATAACCCTTAATTACATGCACCACTCAATATCTTAAATAGACTGGTTTATGATTCAATATGGACTTAACCATTTAACATCTTTTGAGAAAATTTCAGAATATGTACTGAATGAATAGCAAACAGTACAACAGTGCAGACCAATTTGACAGCACAGATATGCCAGCTGATCTGGTTAGAATCTGTTGTGCAGAGTAAACATAAATCTACATTAATCCTTTACACAGTCAAGCTCATAAATATTTCAAAAATAATATGATTGATTAAAGAATCAATTCTAAGAATTGAAATACTTTTGGTTTGTTTTGATTGGGTTTTTATGTCACACCGACACAGTATAGGTCATATGGCAATATTCCAGCTTTACTGGTTGAGGAAGACCTCAAGTGCCCTTTTGTGCATGAATGGGCCCCGGAGTAGGACCACAGATGCTCCGTAAGCTAGCTGGATAGCTTCCTCAAATTGAAATACATGTACTTTATGGAAATATAAGAATCAGAGTGAGACAGAGCTTCATTTAATACTTGGTCTGCTACTGATGTTGATACTGATTCTACCCATGACTTTTGTGTCCAGTGCTGGCATATCTGTGCCATCTAATCATGTTCTGCACTGTTCACTATTTTATCAGTACATATTACAAAAACAATTCCATGGTTTGTCAAGATTGAAAGATTATTTTGTCCATTTAAAATTATAATTAGTGCGGTAACGGTTATTTATCTAAAATATGAGAGAGAACTGCCAAACAGCCGAATATGGGCATTGTCCAGTAGGAAAAAGTTAACCAATCTGAGTGTAAGCAATTACATGGTGACCTAGTGCAATGGTAAAATCCTATCAAATATAGACAGACTTAACCCGTTATTGCACTAAGGTGACGACATGACATGTACATGTATTTAGGAACTGGTTTTGATCAGATGTAATAATTTGCAATTTTTTAAAATTTCTTTTTTTGTGTGTGTCAAACATAGTTATAAATCGGCATGGACTAATGTCTTATTTATGTATTCTATTTACTTTATATATATCACAATGAAAATGACTTGGCATTATGTATTTATATATCTTAATATCTATGGATAGATAACTTTATAATCTTACCTCAAACACTTGAAAAGGATCAAATCTGTTGGATCTGTAATAGAAAAGATAAAACATTTCAATAATTCTCAATTTCCAGCAATTGTAGCTTACTACTACATTGTATATGTGAATCACTTTTGAGTCCATTCCCTTGAACTTAGCAGTACTACCTTGGATCTCTGGATTCTCATTGGTCAGTGCTTTAGTTTCTGACCAATAAAATACCCAGGATCGGAGTTTGAGCCATGATTTTTTTTCTTTTAATAACCTTGGAGCTTGGCATCAGTTGAGGGAAACACTGGTTGTTAGTTAAATAAAGTATATGTTCAAACTTGTGTTCTATAGATTGACTTTAGGCCATTTTTTTTTTATATTTTGGTTTACTGATTTTTTCCAAAAAAAGGTAGGGTCGGAGGAGGAAAAAAAAAAAAAAAAAGGAAAAGAAAAAAGTTTTCATAATTATCTTCATGTCTTGACGTTGAGATACTTTGTAAGTATCCCTTCTCTTATGATTAGTCCATCCCCATTCTGATAAATGTGATGCGTACATAGTACTTACTAGAGAAATTAAATGACCGACTGTCTAAATTCCACAGTGGTTATAAATACACATGTGTGAAAACAAAACAGCATCCACAAATTGATGAAATATCATGTTGCTATTATTTAATCTACACACGAGATGACCTCGCCGACCCTTCAAAAGAGTCAGTAAATCTTTGATGTTCACACACATGTAGTCCCAGTTGTTTAATCCGAATCATCAAAGGTGCCGAAACTCTTAAAATATGTTTTAAATATATAGATATTAGCCTAATTAATTTGGCGAGAATAGTTTAACCCATTTTGCAGACATTTTTCTTCATGCAAAATACATCGTCGTCAAAAATTATCTCGACGTTTCTTTGACAAGTCTAATAAGTAATAAGTTGGACTTCTATAAATCTCCCATAGAACATTTAGATCTAAATTTAATTAGCAGCATATTTCCAGTACTTTTTTTTCGGGGCAGATTTTTTTTTTTTTTCATTTTCCTAAAAAAAGGATGCGGCGGGTCAGTAAACTGAAATATCAAAAAATAATGGCCTTAGTAACTATTTGCCTTGGCTTTTGTTAGATAGTGGGATAGCTTTCTTTATGTGCAAGAATTAATGTCCCTTAGCAAAATTTTAAACTAAGAGTTTGCAAGGTGTCATGTGATTTCAAGTCATCAGACATCACTAACAGTCATAGAGACCACACAATGCAGACTAAAGGAGGTCACATGACTTAGTGTATTGTTAATCAAGTTTTTACAATAAACTTACTCTTCAAAACTATGTGCATTAATTTGACTAGTAGTACGTGCCCTTGAAGCTATAAAGGTAAAGGTTTGTTTGTACATGACAGCTTGGAAAAATCCAAATTTGCCAACTTTCACAGGATCATTGTCAACAAGTGCCCTTAGCCTAGTGACTGAAATTTGAGACGATTTGGCAGAATTCAATAGCCCTTAGGTGTTGTTGTTTTTTTCCCCAGATAATTACATAATATAATATTGACAATAAACAGGGTTTTATGATAATTTCCTGCCACTTGTGTTACCAGGAAGAAGAATTATAGTTTTAGTTGTTGTATAAATCCTAATGAATTAGATTTGTCACGTCTTAACATTGTGTCGCTTTATAGGTCAGTTACATAAAGTAGATGTCCGGGGAATCATAACATTGAAAAAAATTGTTATTTTCATATCTCAGATCCCGATTATTTTCAGTGTTTCACTTCTCGGTTAAAGAAATACCTAACTACAATTATTACCTGAACAAAGCAAAAAAACAACAACCAAAGAACAAGCAAGCAAAGTGAAGAAATGACTTGTTTGTGAGCATCAAAAAACATAGGACATGATTTATTCTACAATAATAAAGACAGCTGCCATTTGGTGGTAATTGGCGTTTATGACGTGACAATATGTCATATGATAAAGAGTAAAGTTATTCAGTAATTTTGGCTGTTGTTTTTTTCAAACACCCTTCATTGTAATGTGAAGGGGGAACACTTTAGGCAGAGTGGCTATTGAAGGTTTATTGCTATCACATTGCTTTTGATCTTGATCCACCTTGAAAGTACGATTTTATGATTTAGAATATGATTTCTAAACATGCCTAATCCTAACTGACATGTGTATGGCCAAATTAGCTCTATAAGGTTAATAAAACACCTTACACCCATCTCTTTTCCCTCCCTTTATATTAACATCCCCACCCCCTCCAAAATAAAAATAAGATTGCTCTATTTGCCCAAAATATGTGAAGAAGTGTGTCTTTCAATCAGTTATGCAGAGGTGCTCAAGTGTATAAAGTAATTTTCCTCTAAGTAGCAAAACTGGAAAATTGGATAAAATATTTCCCTTCCTGATTGTATGACACAATTTTCTTTAATTCTTAGAATCCTCTTAAAAAATGCTGAACAAGAGGGGCAAGAAGGAAATGATGTGAAGAGTGGGCAAAAAATGTAATGAGAAAGAGAGGGCTAAGAAGAAAGTGATAGAAAGAGGAGAAAGGATGAAGCAAGGGAAGAGAGGGCAAGGAAGAAGTGATTGGAAGAGAGGGGCAAGGAAAAAGCAGTAGGAAGGGAGGTGCAAGGAAGAAATGATGGGAAGAGAGGGGCAAGGAAGAATTGATTGTAAGAGAGGGGCACGGAAAGAGTGATTTGAAGAGAGGGGCATGAAAAAAGCAGCAGGAAGGGAGGCACAAGGTAGAATTGATGGGAAGAGAGGGGCAAGGAAAAAGTGATTGGGATGGAGGTGAAAGAAAGAAAGGGGCAAGGATGGCAATTAGAAGAGAAAGGATGAAGCAATGGAAACAGTGGGGTAAGGGGGAAGTGGCAAGGAAGAAGTAATTGGGAGTGGGCGGGATGAAATAATTATTAGGCAAATATTTAGATAGATTGAAAATACGTGTATAAAAATTGGTGAAAGAGAGTTTTTGGTTGGATTTCTAAACATTAACTTAATTTATGCTTTGTTTATTGAATTATTAAAATAGTATATAGTAGTTGTGCTTCAAAAATAATTATAAGCCAAGTTTGTTCATAAATAAATAAATAAATATAAAAATAATGATAAAACAATAATGTATTCACTTACCCATATGGCATGTTTTGTCAGTGTTGTGTTTTAATTCTTTTCCCTTTTATCCAAAATTTCAAACGATGTGTGTATAAGATTTTTACTGAAAAGAAAATAAAGGAAACCCCAATTAGTCCTGCAGTTATACTGCCAAATTTACTTGGCTGTATGGTAAAATCATGCTAATCTTTATGATTTATTTACATTATATAAAAGGGTGCCAATTCTTAAAAAAATTGTTGATTTTGATTTTTCCAAGAAAGAACGATATCTTTATAAGATTTTTTTGTGTCAAAAAAAAATAAAAAAAATAAATGTTTAGTACATTAAAATTCCATCAATTATTAAAATTGATAACTAGAATTTAAATTATCCATACACAATAAACTTCTTCGTTCCAGAAAGAAAAAAATATTCGCAAGTGATGCAAGAAAAAAAAAACTTGTGCAAAGAACTCAGTGACTGGTAAATGAAGATTTTTTTATAAATAGAATGTCCTCTCATTAAACTTTAATAAAACCATACATTAATAATCAACTATTCATTGTTCTTGTCGCAACACAATAGATGTGTTTTCCCTGTAACATTTATAGTGACACATTATCATGCATACATGCCATGTGATTCTATAACATTTCAAATTTATTTATGCATATTAACTTGATGACCTTATTCCTCTCTCTCTCTTTCATTTTATGATTTTAATTTTATAACATTTCAAATAATTTAATTTATGCACCTTAATCCCCTCTCTCTCTCTCTTTCATTTCAACATTTCAGTATGTTTTATGTCTTCTTTCCTTTTTTCTTCTCTTTTTTTTTCTTTTTATTTATCTATTTATTTTATTTAAAAAAGAAAAAAAAACCTTTGTCATTCTGTCTTCTCCTCTAATAGTACTTTTTACATATGATATTCAAAGTTCTTTTTATTTAATTTTAGCAAACTCATTTTATTTTATTTATTTATTAAAATAATTACTACATTTTATAGATAAATCTAATAGCAATTTAAATCATCAGAAATGATCATTTAAACTATCCGTAATATGTATCCTAGGCAGCGACTTTTATCAATTTATGCTGTCAATAATAATAAAAAATCATATCAGTAATGGTTTAATAAAAATCAAACAAAAAACAAAAACAAATAAAGACAAATTTAAACAAATAACAAAAAAAAAAAAAACAACAACATTTTTTTATCTTATCCACATTGGCTCCTTAATGCATTGATGCTCTACTATTCTACAAACACTTCTTCTATCCAGTACTTGTATAACATAAAGTAAAATAAAAAAAAAACGAAAAAAAAATTAAATTTTATTTTTAAAACTCATTCAAATCGACTCCTTGATGCATTGATACTCAACAAACTTTTCTTCTTTACTAGTATAACATCAATCTCAGTATTAATAAAACATGATGCAAGAGACCTTATTTTAATAAATCTTCTTACTTACCAGAATTTGATCTATCCAAAATATTTTTATTAAATGTTATCACGATATATGTTTAAGCCACAGTAAGCACAGTGAATTAATAGTATATAATTGAGATTATGTTATATATATAACCAGTGAAACATTACAATGATACTGATCATGTGATATCACCAGTGTGGTATTTACAATTATATAGGTAATTAACTTAAGAGATGTAACAGAGCAAAGGGTTACATGATTGTTTTATCTAAAACAACATTCTACAATGATATGTTTATTGTTTTTTTGTTTTCTTCTTGTTTTTTTGTTGTTTTTGTTTTTATTCTTTCTTTTTTTTATTCTTAAGAGAAATGATAAGGGCTGACCTGATAATTATATTATTTTTTCGTTATTATTTTTTCGTTATTTATTTATACTGATATATAAATACTTTAGAATATTATAATTATAATGCTTTTGATAAATTGAAAATAAAATTTAGCATATTTGGGGCATAATGGGCCTTTAATGCTAGTTTAATTGTTAGCCTGCAATTGGCGAAAAATTCTACCCATGTGACCAGTGCAGACCAAGATCAGTGAGGCATGAACATGATCTGCGCTGTTCATTATCCAATCTGTACACATTTTGAAATTTTCCCTAAAAATGATGAATGGTTTAGTCCATACAGGAAGATGGACAAGTCCATTTAAGATATTTAGCCTTGTAAGGGTTATTCCAGGAGATTGAAGACTTAAAATGGTTGTAACTTTCTTTCACTAAATTATGGGTAACTTATAATACACTACAGTATAAATACTTTTAAGACTATTTACTTTCAACAGTGCATTATTGTAGTAACATAATGCGCTTACATAACAAGTTATGTTATTATTGTATTTGTTGTAAAGTTGGATTCCACTTACAACAGCTTTAAAGTAACATAATCATTACATAATGTTGTATAATATTACTCAAGAAGTATAACATATAATTACAATCTTCATAAATACTTTTCAAGAAATATTAAGGGTTTAAACTTTAACTTAGATTTAAGTTTATTTTAAAGTTTAATCATATTGAATATTGTATTGTTTTATAGACATTTCATTCTTATCATTCATTAGTTTAATGTTGATTATAGTTTGTAGAACTTATTGATACACTCATTAACAGTAACTTAGCATGGCCTAAGACTCTTTATATACAACATATAGAGAATGGTTCTACTTTTACTGGCCTTTAAACTTAGTGGGATACAAGTTACTGATTTAGCATTTATACATGTTTGTAAATATGTTTAGTTTGATATTAGTTTCTAGTTTTATTGTTTAGAATATTTTTGTAAAAGTTTATTACTTTATTATTTTTATAATCATGGTCAATTGATACTGTTGCAAAATTTTCCATGAATCATAATCTATTTTTAGAATACTTATGTAAAGTACTGATAAGCCTAGAGCATTTGTTAAGTAAATTCTGGTTGGCTGTAATTTGACCAATCAGATAAGTTGTTACATACAGTGCCACCTGTAGGTAGATGCTAGCTCCCTCTGGGATTCAGAAGTACATTTATACAAGCATCTTAGACAATTATGTCATTCTGCTGCTAATTTTTGGAAAAGTAACATCTCTAAAAGCTCTCTAAGGTTAATTAATTAATTATTTAATTTATTTTAGGCACTTTGGCATTTAAATGAACCTTAGAGATTATCTAAATTCACTGAAACATTTTTGATAAATTTGTAAGTAATTTTTGTAAGTTCTTTTTACAGAATTAATAAAGATTAATTAACATCTTTTCTTTGTTTTAAGTGGCAGCCATCTTGAATCATTAGATCTTTATTTTTGTTGATGTAGATTAAAACAGGGCTTGCTACTATTTAGGTTTATTTGTTAAACAACACAGAATCATTAACTTTTAAAGGTTATTTTTCATATTTTCATTTATATCAGTTTAAACAACTTTCAACTGGTTTAAATTTTTTATTCACTAGTTTATTTTGATTATCATATTTTTGGTTAAATAAGAACAATTAATATTAAAGTACATATTGTAAACTAGTTTATCTTTTAGTAACTTTTAGTTAGGAATAAAAACTTAGTTCATCAAAAATTTGGTTGATATAAATATATTCACCATTTGTGTCTTATTTCCCTTTGCATTCAAAGGGTGGTGTCATCCTGACGATTAGATTTTTTCCTATTAAAGAGTACTCCTGAGCAAACTAAGAACATTAGGTAATAGGTAACTAACTTCTATTAATAGAAATCAAAAAGGTTTTAATTTTCAACACCACAACAATGGTGCCAAGTGGGATAGAGGCCTGCTTCTATTTTTAGAAACACTTATTAACATATTTTTTCATCACCACAACAATGGTGTCAGAAGTGGGATAGTTTTGAAAATAAGTAAATTTTCTCAACTCAGGAGTACATTATTTATAAGTAAATTTTTGTATTGATAGTTTTGAAAATAGTAAATTTTCTGAACTCAGTAGAACATTATTTTTAATAAGTAAATTTTTGTATTTTTTGAAAATAAGGATTTTTGTCAAAGTAAATTTTTGAATACTTAGTCAATTAATAGCAATAAAGTAAAGTCATATAACAGTAAACACTCTTAACCTATCTTTTCTTCCTTCAACTGCTACACGGTGATCTGTTCTATTTCAACTGATAGGGGCGGCCTGAAGGTTGAAGCTTGTCACAAGCCTGAACAGCTAACTTAGTTTCAGTTAATTTCATATAAGGTAGGACGGTGAATACATTGACATCCTTCCAGCTATAAGTTTGCGGCAGTCCGGCAAGCTGGATGTTATATGGGGTAATCGTTCTATTAGTAATACAATAATAGGTGATTATATATTTCTGGCTATACTGTTCTGGCAGCTGGAAGCACAAGTGTGTCATATATGATCCTAGAGTTGTAAAATTCTTTTCTATCTTCCAGCCAGGCCTATTTTACCTCTTTAAATTCATATAAAGGCCAATCCCCAAAGAGTCCCTTACCCCAAAAATATAAATCACAAGTACAGAGATCAATAGCAACCAAAGTTATTGATTTATGAAGTACATAGTCATTTCCAACTAATTACAACTTTATTTTCAGCGTCCGACAGTGCCTATTTCACAAACACACATTTTAGGCAATATAGTGTGTATAATCAGAAAACTTTTGGTCTATATTTTTAATATAAATTCTAAAATTTTCATTTTAAAAGGCACTTAGATTGGCAAACCATTATTTGTCCGTACATTGGCTTCGAAATAAAAGAATACCAAAATTTGTCTGCAAATTGGCTCTGAAATAAAAGATTATCAAAATTTGTCCGTATATTGGTTCCGAAATAAAATTTGTCTGCACATTGGTTCCATATCATAAAGAAAGAAGATTCCTTCATATTGTCAAACCTCCTCAAATGGTCAAAGAAGATTCAGCCTCAGACATGGCCAGCTAATAAACACGCAAACACAATACTGAGATGGAACCGCTATCCAGAACACTTCAAACCAATGTTGGCATCAACACGTCAGAAGAAGATGTCTACTTCTACGATTGTTATCCTCCACAACAATACACTACTTCATACCAGAGAGACAACTACTACCATGACGACCATTATGCAACATCCAGACAACTGCCTCCAACTTCTTCACATCACAACGACACAGTCAGGGAAGTCCTTTATCTTCAAGAACAAGTCAAATTGTTAGAAAAACGACTACAAGAACTCCAATCACAAAGCAGAACCAGAGAAGACTATTCACACAACATCTCTCCAGTCAATAGTCTAGACTTAACACATCATGACTGTAACAGCCATCAAAGACCAGAGTATGATAACATATATCCAGTATTACATACATACCAGCCAAGACACTATGATGAACCAAGACCATCAATACCTTATTTCTTCGGGAAACCAAATGAATGGGAAAGTTTCTGGATGAAATTTGAGATACTATGCAAAAGATACAGATGGGACGAAATCAACATAAGAGACAACTTGATATTATGTATGAGAGGGGATGCAGCATCCTTCACTACCAATCTATCTGACGGCATAAGAAACAACACAAGATTCTTCATCAAAGCACTGAAAGAACGTTTTAGTCACAGAATACCAACAAGAACGTATAGAGCTAAGCTAGAAAATATCCAAAAGAGTCCAAAAGAAAACATCCAAGAATACGCCTCCAAGATACAGATGATGATGTCAAAGGCTTACCCAGACATAGTGGGCACCACAACATATGCAGAATTGGCAATCGAATACCTTCTGAAAGGACTCCAAGATCAGCAAATGGCATATGAAATATCAATAAGAACTCCAAGAAGCATTTCAGAAGCAGTAGATATGATAATCCATCATCAAGCCAGTAAAGACAGTTTTAGAAGAAGAAATCACGTCTCGTCCTCAACAACTGACCACCAACAGAAACCTTCTGAATTACGACGCCTCAACCGCAAGAGATTCATAACAGAAGAAAGGTTTTCCCAATTTGCAAGGGAACTTACTCAATCTCTGCAGAAAGAAAAATCAACTTTAGATGACCATACTTACAGGAAAGAAAAAGTTGTAAAGAAAGTGTATCAGCCAAAGATGATTAAAACATTAATTTGCCACCACTGTTATAAAGTAGGTCACATAGCTCCAAAATGCCCAGAAAAGAAGAATATCCAAAGTGAACCAAAGCAAGAGAAAGTCAGAAAAGAAAGACTACAAAAGAAACCTTTAAACTTCAATGGACTGAGTCTGCAGGCCAAGAGTCAGTCCAAACACTAACCCAAAACTTCGATAAAATGGCCGACAATGAACCAGAAGACAGACCACCAACGGCATCGGGTAGAGTAAAAGAAGTGATGTTCGTCGATTCCATACCTATTCAAAAGACAAATACTAACAATAAAGTTGGAACCAAAGACAGAGCATTCAGTCACAATATTCGCTTCACTTCAACAAAAGATCAAAGACCGATGCCAATGAAAACCAAACGACAACCCTTTAATCCTGAAGAAATTATAGATGACGAAATAACGGATGAAAACAGCAGACCAAA